ATCCACTAGACAGTTCCATTATGTGTGGATTATCCACTAGACAGTTCCACCATGTGTGGATTATCCATTAGACAGTTCCATCATGTGTGGATTATCCACTAAGACAGTTCCATCATGTGTGGAGTTTCCACTAGACAGTTTCATCATGTGTGGATTATCCACTAGACAGTTTCATCATGTGTGGATTATCCACTAGACAGTTTCATCATGTGTGGATTATCCACTAGACAGTTTCATCATGTGTGGATTATCCACTAGACAGTTCCATCATGTGTGGATTATCCACTAGACAGTTCCATCATGTGTGGATTATCTACTAGACAGTTCCATCATGTGTGGATTATCCACTAGACAGTTCCACCATGTGTGGCTTGTTTGGTGATAGCATGGTGATTGTATGGTGAAATTAATCAGTGTGTCCCATGAGAGACTGGAGGATGTTCAGACGCATGATCTTCTAGAATACCTGACAGGGAACCTAATGATGATCTCTTACATATGTAGAATACAGAAGATAAAGAACACATTATGTTTAAATCTCAAATTTTTTATTACCATTTTTGTCAACAAAATATACACAATAGACAAAACAGACTCTAAATAACAAACAATTGATTTACTCATGAAATAATAAACTACAAACAATTGATCAACTTATGAGACAATAAACTCCACAGTGGAATGCTGGAAAACGGTGTAATATCACCATGTACCAGATAGACAAGATGGCTGAAGGCAATGGCTACTGGCCTGCGTGGACAAACTGAATCAGTAAATTTATGGAAGAAAAACTGACCTCAATGCTTCAAAATAAGTAACGAAATACTTATGGAAAAAAGCCATACTTTCGTTGACAAATCAAGAAATCAAGCGAATATTTGACCACTCAGATAATCACAAAAATTATCTTGTTATTATTCATAAGGCACACAAAATTATTATAAGAGCAGGAAGGAGAAAGGAATGCCAGAATCACAACCAGATTGTGGTGTTTATATTCTGTTGGGTGATTGTTGCCGCCCAAACTTTCCTCATCCTCACACCTCTTTGACACACAACCAGCATACTGAAGCGAAATGTGTTAAATAGGCAATCTCTGTAATTATCCTCATTTTGTAAACATTGTATACTGGAGAGAAAAAAATTAATAAAACATTATTAATAAATAAAAACAATATAAATATTCCAAGTCAGGTTAACTCTAACAGCAGCAGTGGGATTAAGAGATGCAGGACTATGAATTACCTACTGGCACATCTGGGATGTCACTAACAGGAGTCTCTGACCAGAGGTCAACAGGGGGGATAATCAGTCACTAACAGGAGTCTCTGACCAGATGTCAACAGGGGGGATAACCAACAGTAAGGGCCTGCTGTTTTCTTCCTTGTCAGCTTGCAGATGCCAAATTGGATTTCTTTACAGAAACTGGCCGTTGGGTTGACCTTTCTGTAATGTTTGCCCCAACTGTTTTTCTCTGACTGCATAAGCTAAACACTTTTATAGCAAATGTTTAGCTCTCATTTGTAACGTTCAATGATATCCTGTTTATTTTTATAACCATGGGAAATTGCCTGTCTGAAACTACTTGAGAGAGAAGACATAACTACTAACGGCACACGGCACAGACTATAGGAGGATGAAGAAGCTAGTCAAGATTTTCAATGGTGCAGAAAAACAAGTGAACGCAAATATCAGAAGGAGACAGTTATCATTCTCTAGTGATATTATAAGCAGAATGCACTGGAATATGATCAAACAACTGAAAATATTGATGACAAAAGTGTTGGAAAACATCAAAGGAAGATTTAGCAGCCTGTTGTGGTGGCAATGGCAAATGTCAACACAGGAACTGATACTTGCTTTTCTTCTGCATGTCAAATGTCAGGAGGACCAGGAATGTACCAACGCGCCAGTTTGTTGCCTTATAAATACAGATTATTTTATGTACAATTTCTAGTGGAAACAAACATTATTATTTTTAATGTTTACAAAGATAAATACTTTTAATTTGATTAAAGTATGTTGTATATTTCATTTTCAACTATTAGCAACTAAAACATTTATCATACAGCAATATTGCAAACACATGTATGATTATGACCCATAGATCAGGTATGGTTATGTGGGTACACATGTATGTACATACTATACAGAAACATTGCAAAGACATGCCGACACATGAACAAAAAGTTAAAGAAAGGTAAAGTCGGGAGATCTGAACAGCGTCACTGCACACGGTTATAAACCATAAGTGCTCTGCCACCAGTACGGAAAAGAAACTGTCCGACTGTGTCGCTTCTGCACGTAACTCTGTAGCCACAGCAACATTCCTCCATTTATCCGAGAGTGTCACTCTGGTACTCATTTTCTAGAGGCAGGGTAAACTCCGGGAACTGCCTGGTTTTGAACACCGACCGTGGCTACAGCGAGTCAAGCCTGGATTTGAAAGTGAGCCTGTTATTGACTGCGCTAACACGGCTCCCTTAATGAACAAGAGATCAGCTACGGCTATCTGTATATCTGTGTATGTATGTAGATTATTTATAACTAAATCTGGAGTTGAGTCATCCAAGAACCTAAACCGTAGACAGATTATGTTGCTTTGATACATCTAGTAGTTGACATGGGCAATAGTTGGCGTCTATGCAAAGAGAACAGGTGTTGTTTTGATTTAGTCATGCTGTGGCAACTCACTGGTAATTTTCCTCAAGAAACAGTCATAACACTATGTTTTTAAAAATTAATTTATGGTTATCTGCACACCATCTACAATGGCAGATAATAATAATGCACCATATTTACTACTTGCTTTCAGGTCATTGTGGTTCATTCTGTAACTGCCCTGGTACTATTCATGTTACAACTACACCACTGGTGCTACCATAACACAAGACTGAGAATATTTAACCAATACAATCTGCTATGTATTTCCTTTTTGTTGAAAACATTCAAAATGGGTCGCTTTGGTTTTTCATTTTTCAAACTGGCCACTCAAAGTCAAAACCTGGCAAAGATCAGTTACATTAAATCAAATGAAACTAGTTTCAGTCAAATACACATCAAAGACAGTTTAAATATACGTCTTCTATTGTGAGTACAGAGTGCCTGACAGACTGCGTTTTCAAAACATCACACTTTGTTGTACCACCTCAAGAGAATCTTTTTTTTTCACAAAAATTTCTGCTCACCTGAAACTGATTTGTTTACAGTAATTTAATATGCTTTCAAAGCTGAACTAGTTTAACAGCACATTGAGAAATTCAAACTTGGTTAGTCTCTTTAAAAAAATATATAAAAAATATTCTTACTAAGTGTCCAAACAATAGAAAGCAATAATTATATATTAGTTGTAACTTTGGAGTATTTTTTTATATTGCTTTACAAGTGATCCTACTCCTTTCTGTGATTTTTCAACTAATAATTCATTATTTTCAAAACTTCTTTTTAATTTTGGGTAATGTAAGTATTTATTTTAACAAGTTACTATATCATTTCAATGCCAATACTTTAATTGCTAAGTTTGGCTCTTGTTCCAACCAAATCTGGCCAGTGAATAGTGGTACAAGGTGTATGGTGAAGAAAACCAGTCTCAGATTAGCCTACACAACTAGAACTTCACTGTGACCCGGGAGGACAGTCCCTCCAGGAGGACAGTCCCTCCAGGGGACAGTCCTACCAAGGCAGGTCCTAACATGAGGCACTTACAGTATTTACAATAAATATAGTCACAAATATGACACATTTCCACAAAACATATATTGGCACTGAGATGACCTAAAGCACACAGCATCATAGGCAATTTTATTATAAAAGTCTAAAAGCGTAATCATTGCAGCAACAGTTTATAAAATCTGGTTCAACAGCAGTTACTATTTGTATCGCAGCAATGGATTTTAATGTATTTTATGCATCATTTATTGCCTTCTTTCTAAACACCCCCCCCCCCCCCCAATCCCCCACCCCTCGGCCCCTTCCGCGTATATTCCACAAAGGGACAATATAAATTATAAATCTGTTCAGCAATTGACTTCTCTTGGCAAGAGGTGAAAGATAACTTGGTTTTCCTGGATTAAAGCTATAACCAAGGTTTGTGTTATGATGACCAATGCTGTTTCAGTGTTAATTCGATGGCTGTAGCAGCAGCTGGTTCCAAAATATAAAATTTGTTGGCACCTTTCCGTCTTTCCAGACAAGAGTTTGATCGTGTGCCAGAAGGAGGCATGGAACTCACATTTACTGACCATGGCGAGTTTGACTAGCAAAAGCCAGCGAGCCAAATGACTTCCCTAATTAAAGCAAGGAATATGAAGACCACAGTCGTTTTCACATGTATCTGCCATGCTTCGTCATAGACTCTCAGCTCTTCAGCTATTTGCAATCATCTCCTCTTTTATCTTTCTTTCCTTTCTTATACCCCCACTGTTCCCCTCTCCCCTTACATCCCAACCACCAATTTTTCAATGCACAACAGCATAGGACTCATGTTCCTATGAAACCACCTCAATACCTGTATCATTCTTATCCTGTTTGCACATACAGTGTACAGTTTTTACACACAGACTTGTTATGTAGAACTGATTACTGTCTGGTGTCTTGTCTGCCATATTCTCATATCTCAGTGTATCTCATTCCTTTATGTTGCCTTCAACTTTGAGAGTCAAACACAACAGATTTCTTCACACATGGAGAATCTGCTCTGCCATGTCCATCATATCTCACTCTATCGCATTCCTTTAGGTGCTTCAAACTCCGAGTCAGCAGCAATAGAGTTCTTCACGTATGGAGAATCTGCTCTTCCATGTCCATCATATCTCACTCTATCTCATTCCTTTAGGTGCTTCAAACTCCGAGTCAGCAGCAATAGAGTTCTTCACGCATGGAGAATCTGCTCTGCCATGTCCATCATATCTCACTCTATCTCATTCCTTTAGGTGCTTCAAACTCCGAGTCAGCAGCAATAGAGTTCTTCACACATGGATGATTCTTGATAATTATACGAGTTACTTCACGGATGTTGCATTCCGTTTCTTGTCCTCTCGTCTGCAGGCATGCTTGATAAAATTGCTGATGGCGGAAAGGGCACGGCCGGAGGAGCGAGATCTGCGATCAGTGTTGGGTCGTTTGAGTCGATGTCTGTTCTCCTGATTTTCCGTGTCATCGACGGGGATCAGTTGTTTCTTGATGTTACATAGGATGCCAATCAAGAGTTCATCAAGGTTAAGGTTCAAGGCTGTTGATGTCTCCAAGAAGTGACAATCATTACTGGAAGTGTATCTGATGGCCTCTGAAAGAAGAAAACAGTCGCTAGTTTCAGAGATGGAGCAACACAATATAGTAACCCCTTTCATTTAATTTGTCTGTCTAAATTATTACATAAATTGTAAATATTTTTTAATGGAACAGTCATGTCTTAGGAGTATTTCTCTTTCATCTACCATCAACTTTTAAAATCTCCATTCTCCACTTTTGGGTTGAATATTTTTCAGATCTGATTATCTGCCATCATTTTCAACTGTTAAATAACCTATGTGTCATGAAAATAGATGTATAAATCTGAACTCTTTTAGTAAAAAAAGAAAGTTTTCAAGGAGATCCCAATGAATAAATATAAGTGATTACAATCTATCAGTAATTTAACACTAGTAGTGACCAGTGGATAAGCCAGATTTCTTCAGTGTGTTCTGATCAAATTTAAACATAAAAATTAAAAAAAAATATTTTAAGCTAGGGAGGAGATTAAGGAGTGAGTGAATGACTGCCGTTCAACACCACTAGAACCGCACAACCAGCGATGAACACCTGGTGACACAAAGTGCCAACATTTGAATGAAAGTCCTAGAAACACTGTTCAACCGTTAGGTTATAATAGGACACCCCCACCCCCCGACAACAGCTACCCCCCCTCCCCCCGACAACAGCCCCCCATCGATAACAGCCTGGGTGGGGTTTTGAATTAACCCCTTTTCCGGCCGCCCCCCCCCCCTCCCCCCTCCATAGCTTCCTTAATGTTTATATAACTGACACTCACTGAAAAAAAAAGTTCTTACCTTGAGAGATAACCAATCTCTGCCTGACCAGATCGGTTTTGTTTGCTACCAGGAAGATGGTTCTGTCAGTGCCCAGGTCGTGTCTGAGGTAGTTGAGCAGGTTGACAGCAAAAGTGAATGATTCGGGTTCCGACACTGCATACATGAGAATGAAGGCGTCCGCTCGGTAGCACTCTAAGTCGGACAGCTGTGAACACAAGAGAGACAGGAATCAGCACAGGGTGAATGTGTCATCATGTTGTGTGAGTACGTGCCTGCACACATTTTAAAAGGGCACCAGAAAACAGACGACTCTGGAATATGATAATCAGGAATAATCGAATAATTTCTTCACAGCAAATCTATGTTGCTATCTTCCCATGTCAAGAGATTAGCTTCCTTGATCACATGTAGTCCAAACCTCTGGGCTGGCAACGTTACCTGTGTATTGTGCATCTTGTAACGGCCAACCTTTCTAGTATCCATCCACTTACATCCTTTACCGTCAACATATTCTTCAATTTCGTTACCATCGTCATCATCATCATCTATTTAATCAATATCAGCATCACCATATTGTAAATGTGTATTAAAATCTTTAGGAGAGTAATGATTATTTTTGTAATCACTTCTTCTTCTTCTTCTTCACTTCCTCTTTTACCGCTGTGGGTGTCGAGGGAGATATAGGGTTCTGTTTCTAGCTCTTCTGGCTGCCTCGACCATAGGCACATCGTGCTGTTGTAGAGTTTCTCTGATGTTATCCTTCCATATTGTTCTTGGTCTACCCCGTGCTCTACGTCCTTCTTCTCTTTCCATGTATGCTTTGTATGGTATGGTGTCACAAGGCATTCTCTCTAAGTGGGCAAACCATTTCACTTGCTGTCTTTGTATGTAATCCAGAATTGGTTCTGTGCCGACTTGTTCTCTTATTATCTCATTCCTGATCTTATCTCTTATGGTCACTCCTACAGCCCTTCTCAGACATCTCATTTCCGTGGTTATTTTTATATCTCATTTTGATTTTTGTAGCGGTAAAAAATCCATTGCCGGCTTGCTAGGCCTGTCGCAACTTCACTAGAACCCCGTTGACCAAGACGTTTCGGGGTGACCCAGGGTGGCCTTCATGGCTACCGTAGCGGTCCCGTGGCACGAGGCCACACCATACTTCGCCCACACCTAGCAATCCCCGACTTTGTCCTGTTACCACCTCTCACGACGAGGACGTGGGGTTGGTCTTTGAGAGGCTTTTGTAATCACTGTCAATGTAAAATCCTCGTTTCTGTGACCATGTTTACGAATAATTGTAGTCAGACTGGAAGTCTTATTCTACATCAACATCATCATTGTTGATCTTAGGATGAAATGTTTCGTTCTTTGAAGCCCTAATCTGGCTCTTGCCAGGAGCCGCAAAATAGCCTGGCCATAAATATGGCCTAATGGCTGAACGTGGTTTCTGGGACCTCTCCACAGTGATCCTCATCCACATGGTGGCACATTGTGTCATCGGGTGTTTATCGCTTGTGTGATGTCCTGGTGGGGTAGAAAGTCAGTCAGTCATCAACATCATCGTGTAGCAGTTTCTTTGCAAAACGTCGCTAACATCACGGTGTGCCTAGAAGAACTGCGGTCTCAATTAAAAATTTCTTGGAATAATAACGTGATAGTTTCCCCTTGGTAGCCACATTCACATGGCTTCAAACTATGTCCTCGACTTGTAGACTGGCAGAGCAAGTTAGTGTCCTGTTCTCTGGTGCTCTTGCTAACAGCTGAAGATATCCTGGAGATGTCTACTTATTCCGGTGGAGTCTCGGCCCCTTAGCTGCGTCGGCCCACACCACACTGTGTCTACAGCTGAAACTGTCACTGCAGTGGACTCTACAATGCTCTGGACAATTATGATACAAAGTCGCTGCTCGACGATTGTCGTGTGGCAAAACTGTCTTCACTCTGAAATCCTTCAC